GTTATCAATTTACCCATTATTTTGCAGAGCTTATATATGAAGAAACCTATTTTTATTTCTGTTATGTTAAAAATCTTGGTTACATTTCCCAGTAAGAGGTAAGAATGCTAAACAAAATGATGTCTAAGCAGCTTGGGTCTTGATCAAGTGACTTTCTGATTACTGAAAATATTTGGTCCTGTGACTATCCATTAGCATTCCTCGTGATTTCTGTAAGCTTCTCTTTTGTTTTAGGTCAGTATGTATTGTACTCCGTACTCTAATTTATGAATGTCTACAAGGTATTACGTGGCTCTGAACTAATAGTTCGGTAACGCGTATGAGCAGATCTATATTGCCACTTGGTTTCTCAACTATGGTCCAATTCATTCAACCCCTGTTCCTTCAGAAAGCCTCCAAATTGTTTATAACACCTATCTGTGTTAATTAAGTGGCATGCAATGACTTGAAAGTAGTTAGCCCAAAGGACTCTTCTCTCAGAACTGAACACAATGAAATACATTTCACAATTTTTAACTTCCTTGCTCTTATCTTAGAGCCGCAAAAGCTCATCCCTTAGAGGATGTGTTAGATGCCAATGGAAAGGCTTGGCAGCAGGGGGGGCTGCAGATGGGATCTCTGTGGGAGGAAGAGGCCAGAGGCTGCCCTATGATCGACATAGCTGTTCCAGCCAGGACATACTCTGGGCCACAGCTGAGCCCATCAGCCAGGCTCTTGGTGAAAAAGTCTGAGCAGGGACAGAAAACATGAAGAGGAGGAAAGAACAGAGAGAATAGCAAGGTTAGAGAACTGGAAGATGCTCTGTGGCAGAGCAGGTACATCCCTGAAAGAACTGAGACCATGGATAAGCTCATGATGGAGCCGGTACTCTTGTGAAGGGGCTACAGCCAATAAAAGAGCCACAGTGGAGCATAAGACAAGAGTGAAAGAGAAAAAGCAGCAGGTAGAAACTGTTCTGCATTGATCCTGACTTCCCACGCTGTTCAGTATCTCACTGAAAGCACTAAGTGTAATCTGCACAGCAGGGAATGGAGTGCAAGTGGATATGGGTGCCTGGCTGCTAGCTGGGGACAGTCTGGCTAGTTTGCAGTAGGTGAATGAAGTGGAAAAGTTGACTCTTTATCCTGTAGAGCTCATAGAGGCATGGAATCACTAACATCCCCTGTGCAGTGGATGTCTCTTGTTAATATGAGGTTTGGCTCTAGCTACTCATCAGCAGTATGCATTTAGCCATGTCCCGTCCTCTCTTCCTTTGAAAGGTGGAGTAAACGTTCTGTTTAGTGTATTTTGAAGTTCCACTTTGATCCAGAAAAAGTGAATTAAAGTAATAAGGTGAAGGCGATTATCAAGGATCTCCTGGTTAATTGGACTACTACTGTCTGAAGGTGTGTAGCAAAGGTGAATAAATACTGGTGAATCATACTGGAAGAACCCAGGACTTTCAGATTTACTTTTCTTTCCTCTCCTGCTCCCAGCAAGGCTCATATCCTGCATGCAAGGGGCAGTGCAACAATCTTCCCCTTGTTCTGCTCTTCCACGCCACATGACAAATGTCATTGGTAAACCAATGTGCCATTCTGAAGCATGTGATGCTTGAAGTCATGTACTGTGACAGAAACAGTGGCATTAGGCTGCCTGACAGCCCACACTGTCACTGTGCTTTCCTGCTTAGAACAATTTTTGCATGTGTCAGCTGGAGAAACTTTACCAAGAATGTAACTTCCTTAGAGTTTTCTAGACATGGAGTTGCATGTACTGTAATAAATCAGTACTGATAACCTACAAGAAATATTTAATTGCTTGTGTGGTAGCATAAACTTAAGGAACCATGCGTTAGGCAACTTGTGTCAATTTGAGCCCAGACAGATGTCTGGACTGCACCAGTGTAGGTAAAGGTGTAGCCTTATGTGTCCCATTTTGGATTCCTATTATGGTATTTGCACTAATCTATTGGAGACTAATAGCAAGAAAGGCCTCATACTGAGATTCTCCACTACAACTAAAGGACGGTAGATGAGGTCTGTCCTGAAGAGCTTCCCACGGATGTGAACAAGACAAGGTAAAGCAAAAAAAAGTGCAGTAAGGGCAGTTACCATAAACATTCTCATGAGATTCTTGATTTTTTTTTTTTCAGCTTATTTTTCTGTGCACTGCTACTGATTTGATTTCCTTGTTCAGCTGCTCACATTCAGCAGTTTCTGCCCAGCAGCCAGGTGGTGGAAATCATCTAATGCAAGCATTCATTTGAGGAGGGGAAGAAGAGGAGCAGTCTAACTTACTTAAACTTCCAAAGAGTGTCCTAATCTTGTAAAGAATGTGTTCTTCCTGTATGCAGGTCTCTGGAAAGTTTACAGATGAGCTGAGACCCATAGAGGTGCCTGTGTGTCAAAGTTGAACTATTTACACGTGGCTCTATTTGTTGTCCCTAGACAGAAGAAAAATAACACATTTTTAACTGATGGGGGAAAATGTTACATCTACGTTTACTTTGGTTTGGCTAAAAAGCTGTTTTAATTCAGTTCAGCTAAATAAATATTACCCCATTTGTCAAATGTAAGCCTATTTAAACCCAGCTTATTGGGTTAGCTTGCACCTGTAACCAATGTAGCTTGTATGGGACTCATGTGAAAGTGCCTGTGCAGCGATTTGTATTGGCTTGACATCAGGGTTTTATGTTAAACCCCTGCAGCTTCCAGGTGAGGACCTCCCCTTAGTAGCCTCCAGCAATAAAAGTGATGACTTCTGTTTATACTACTAATAATAGCCAACAGTTAAAACTTGACTAGTGTTCCCAGCTCTGTTCTTGCCCTTCAATGCTTTTGCATGAGACCACAAGTTAGCTGACAGTGTATCCTGTTTCTTTAAAAAATAAGGCATTACACCTTGACTGCATCTGCCACAGGAGCTCACAGCCTGCATGTTCATTTTAAGCATATCTTTCAGGACAGTCCAGTGTCATCTGAGCACTTCCAAAATGTTGAATAAAAAATACAATTAGGCTGCATGAGAATGTTAAGGAAAGCTTTCTGTTCAAATGACTGTTCAATGTGGTGGTCGTGGTGAGGTTGAGACTTGTAAGGGAGTCTGCATTTAGTAGGTCAGTCCATTAAAAACTTTTAACCTCTGGACACACTGCTGCAGACATTTTTGCTTTTCACTTATTAAGGAATTTTGCCTCCCATAATGGTAATATGTCATCAAATAAAGCATGACATGCTTAACAACACAGTTTGGTTCATAGGCAAGTGCTACAGGACTGGTGAAACTCCTGCCCTGCCACAGGTTCCTCTCCACAGGCTGCAGCTCTGACCCAGGGCTGTTCCTGCAGGGGCTCTCCATGGGCTGTGTCGTCCTTCAGGCCTCATCCACTGCAGCACCTTGGGCTCCTCCTTGGTTGCAGGTGGAGATCTGTCCCGTGTGGTGCCCACAGGCTGTAGGGGTACAGCCTGCTCTTCCATGGCTGCTTCTAGGCTGCAGGAAACTCCTTCGAGTACCTCCTCCCCTCCTCCTGCACTGACCTTGGTGCCTTCAGGGCTGTTTCTCTCACATCTCTCACTCCTCTCTCCCAGCTGCTGTAGTGCAACAGTTTTTTCCCATTCTTAAATCTTCTCTCTCAGAGTCAAAACCAGCACTGCTCATGGCTCAGCTCTGTCCATCACTGGGAGCAGTTGGACCTGACTGCTCTGACATGGAACAGCTGCTGAGTGAGCTCTTCTCATCCATCTCTAGATGTGGTGTTGTGGTTGGATACTATTTATGGCACAATCTAGACATTTCTCATTCTAATAGAACAACAGTGCTTAATCACACAAGTAATGATGTAATGGTTGTGGTTGTTGGAGGCTGTGATCAAGAGATATGATATAATGTTTTGGCTCAGCTGAGGATATGTGGCTTAGCCCCAGCCAGCCAATTCTTCCTCCAGTGGAAATGTTACATCCTTCTTTTAGCAATATTATGAGCATCAAACCCATTAGTGGTCAGATAGGGAGTAGGCTGTAGTGTTAGAATCTAGGTATCTACTAGTTAAATAGCTGTCGTACAATTGAAAATAAAAGTACTGCTATTCTACATGGAGTGTTATTTGTTGATTGCTATAAGGGTGCCTTAATGCTGTTAACAGAAGACAGGGATGGTGCTGCCCTATGCTATATGTTATAGGGAATGGTTAAAGAAATCTGATCAAATTACTTCCCCTCCTACATTTCATGTGCAGCAATTTTCAAGGGATAGACAGAATCTTCAATGGCTTTCCTCAATCCTATTTTTAAAGTGTTGACTAAATTATTTTGAAATACCAACTCTTTAAACATGATCTGTTTTTCTGTTATTTCTATTATTTCTGAAATCTCTGATTAGTATTTTTTGCATCTTTCAGGCATAAATGGATATCTGCTAATTAAATGCATAGTAGATGTATGGTACATTCTAGAAGTTTCTGTACACATTCAGCCTTCTGTGCATGCTCAGCTCCTATAGAAAGATCTATTTTTAAAAGCTGTAGCATTCAATCTCCAGGTTCCTTGAAAAATTGCCTCCAAGTTTAGTGTTTGTTATGACCTTCATTAAACATTCTATGTGGCCTATGCCAATTAAAACCATTAGCATAAAAAGCTATCAGCTATGAGCCTGTAACCTTAGGAAAAGCAAATGTTTATGTTTTGAACACAAAAGCAGCGTTATTAACAAAAAGTGACTTATCAAGTGTAAATAGAATGACCTGAACAAAGCGTGCGTCAGCGTACATGCATGTCATTTGCCATCTGCTTTGTGTTATGACCCCTGCTAGGGATGTGTTTTGTGCTAGTGGACAATTGGAAAACACTTAAAAACACAAGCTGGAATGTATAGAAATCTTACAGCAGTCTTTCACATGGTCTGTGTCATGTGAGGGGATAAAAACAGTTTGCAGAAAAGATGAATTGAACTATAAATGCTGCATCCTGATAACTCTCTCATGTAGCCATATAGCTATGATTTCCTTTACTTTCTCTCTGCAGGTTTTCCTGGAAGCCCAGATAAGAACACAACCAACAATAAAATGAAAAAACTGTGCAGCTGAAGAACTGAAGAAGCATTTTTCTACTTGGTGAAAATGCCTGTTATTTTTTGACAACGATTAAAGAACAATGGGGTCAAACACACTTGGGAAGGCTGCAACATTAGATGAGCTTTTGAACGCTTGTATTGAAATGTTTGGTAAGTGTTCTCAATACTTTGCTTTGCTGTTGTTCTTTGAATTCATCTTATAGCATAACCCCCGCTGTTCTCTGATTTAGGCAGTCTTTCCCTTGGCAAACATTTCCATTCTGTAAAATTTTCCATGTTTCATTTTGTCCCAGAATTATGCAGGCCAGAATTTTAGTCATATGCATATTGTGTTAAGAAAATGTAATACAGGTAAAGCGCAATGTTGTGTATAGTGGCTTTAAAACTAAACAAATGTTTAATTGAATGATTCAAGGAGTTATTTCTGGCATTGTCTTGAGGGTTACACAGCTGCTTTTCTGACCAGTTGTTACTCTGAAACGTTTTTCAAATCATCATGCAATAATTGGAAATAATATGACTCAAGGCTCATGTAATCATTTTACTCTTATTTAAATGTAGTGTACCAGGTCTGAGGGAAAGAAGTGATGAAGTAGACCTTGATCCACAGTGCCATTAATCAAGAATTATGTCACCCTATAGCCAGATGAGATGAGTTCATGGATATACTTATATGCTTTGAAATGAGTTCTTAATTCACAAAGCTACATTTAAAGTCTCTTGGAACACAAGACAGGCTTTGATTTGATTGAGGGCTGTTGGTTTGGGGCTTTTTTCCCTTTTGGAGAGAAGGAAGCATCTGAAGATGAGAGGAATTAAATATTTAAGGGCCAGATTTGGTTCCTGAGCATACTGCATCTCTGTATATCCATTTTTTGTAGACCATGATCAGACCTGCTGTCCTGTATACCTAGTGAGAGGTAGCAGAACCAATATACTTCATGTCTCTTGGGAGTAATCTCTCTCTTCCATGTATGCATGCTGTCTTGACAGCTCTAGTCTGTATGTGGTTCCTGTTTCATACACACATGTAGACTACTGTCTACTGAAATAGCAACAGAGAGAAAATAACATAGGATTGTGGGTGCTATGGAGTGTGAACAGCCAGGCAATCAGCCAGGGAGTAACTTCCATAGCCTCAGTGGCTACACTGCAGAAACTGGGAGAGTCTGTACAGCAGCTGGAGGTGTGATCCGCATACGGACTGAAATGTTGCTTTTGATCCCTCTTTTTAAACAATCTAGTGGTTAATATGCAGCTGCACCTAAACAAACCTTGTGAGTGGTTTTGGATAAACCATCTCCCTGCCCTTTCAGTGGACTAACTTTAGATTTGTTATTTGTATAACCCACTGTCTCATTGCACTGATTCAGCTTATATGCTAGACATGTCCACGCCTGTTGTCTGGACTTTCTTTTCCCTACAGCACTACAGTCTAGCAATAGTTTCCTCTAAAGGAGGATTTGTGTGCTTTGCTTTTGTGTCCTGTCTGTTTGGTAAATAATGGCCCAAGATTTTAACTTCTGATATTTTTTATCTCCACTTGAACGACATATGCTTCTCTGTTCGCAGCTAAGAAGTTCATTCCCTTGTTGCTCTTTTTTCAGATGACAGAGGAAATCAATGCTCCAGCCATTTGCCGAGAATCTTTCTTCTAATGCATCGCTGGTACCTGCCTTCCACAGAGCTGGCTGTCAAGCTTCTGTCTACATATCCTTTCAGGAAGTCTTGCAAGTCAGCATTACAGTGTTGAAAGCAGATTGTTTCTGCGACTGCATGTAAAAATTTGTTACTTAATTAGTAACAGAGTTGGACTCTTTCACCCTAAAACATGGAAATCCGGGAGCTTCATTCGGCTTTTGGTTGTAGATATTTTCCATGAGAACAAGTTTGCTGAGGCATGCTTTGAATTATCTTTGAATAAATGGAAAAATGTTGCCAAGATAATTTTTCAAATTTATAGTGGCAGGCTGGTATTGGACCAATACGAGCTTTCAGTGGTAGCTAAGTACCTACGTGTCTTCAAAATTGTTCAGCTGAGTACTCAGAACAGTGCATTAGAGGCATTTTTGCTAGGGCAAAAACCAAAATGGCAGCCAAGAAATTGTCGTTGTCTTAAGATACTGTGTAAGTGAATGAATATCAGATCATGCTGTAGTTGTCTGTCGAAGCAAAGTTTTTAATACTGGTTTTGTTCAACTGGTCTAGAGTCACTGTCTGATGTAGATAAAAACCACATTACTGAATCAAGTCACCTGAAGCTTTCTTTAACTAGAATACATATAGAGATGCCAGTGGGGAGAACTGCAATGAATTCAGACTAAAAATCTGCTACTTCATGAGGTAGGCACGCTTCTGTTTTCTATTTGCTGTGAATACTATAATTGTAATTTATTTTCCTAATGTTTAAAAAAGTTATTGTTTTATTTGATCTCTAGTCTGTAGTAAAGTGTGAATTACTGTGCTTTGAAAACAATGGTTTCAGCAGAACCAGTGCTTAAGACATGTAACTGTGCATGTACTGTACAGCTGATTGAAACCTTGTGCCGTGAATTACCTGGTGTTTGAGCATGACACCTCTTACAGGGAGGTGAGGTCAGTGCCACACAGAACAGTGACACTTTTTACTTCCATATATCATCTATTTTGGTGGAGGAAGTTTATCTCTGGGCTGTTGGCTTCAGTTCAAATAATCTGTGCGTAATTTATGATGACACGAGTATGTTAGAGATGTCAAAGCTTTTACAGATCAGATTTGTTCTGATCTTTGCACCTAATTGTCTCTGACTTTGTTTCTACAGGAAAGCTGTCCCTGGTTAGGCTGTGCTTGGTTAGGAGCATTTCTCCATAAAATAGAAAGTATGAATTTTTAAGCTAACACGCTACAACCTGCTTCCCTCAAACAAATGACTAAATTATATCACTGTGTTGGAATGGGAGAGAGGTACTGAAAGTAGCACTGACAAAGCCTTTTTCCTGCCCTCTTAAATAGAAGAGGAATTGCCTTGTTTACATGGTTATCGTGGTAGTGCTGCCACTTTAACTTCACGTTTTCATTTTCACTGGAAAATCTTTTTCTGAGCACAGTGTCTCACTTAAACAAGGGACAAATGCAAGTCATTTGGGTGCCCTGGCAGTGTGAGTTGGGGCAGGTGTGGTGTGGCTGCCTTTTGTGTGTCACCCCATGCATCTTTTAATTTGACATTTCAAAAGAGTGCTCTTGTATGGTACTTTGGTGAATTAAATGAAGGAAATTATACGATAATTTGATTGCATGATGTCAACGATCCTGTTGTCAGTTATAAGCTAGAATATTTTGGAGTTACTTGAGACTGTTGATTCAGCTACTAAGAGAGCAGTGGTACAGCCCCTGTTTTTCTAGGTCTGTGACTGTTTATTTTTAAAGTCTTTGTCATTAATGTCAGAGAGAAGTACAGCATCAGCAGGCTGGGGTTGCACACCCTCTCTGCCCCAAAACCACTCAGTCTGAAATATTCTTAAGTTCTGTTGATTAAAATGTGAGTATCTCTGTACAGCCACTAAATATTACACCTGAATCCTCAGGTGTTTCTGAACTTATTTATGTCAATTTCAGATACTGGATTCTGGAATTTCCTGCAGAATTTAACTTGGATCTCGGGCTGATTCGTTTGACTGAAGAATTTCGAGAATTAGCCAGCCAGCTTGGCTATGAGGATCACATCGATCTCATTGATATCTCCAGCATGTAAGAATGTCATGAGCTTTATCATCTTTACCTCTGTTCTCTGTAGCAGCAGAATTCTAATTCTGTCCAAAATATGAAAGTATTAAGGGCCATCCTAATATTGAGAGAGCAAACAATCATTTACAAAAAAAAAATTCTCTTACCATCTAAATTTGGAATTCTACATGTAGTTTGACACTGAAGTCTCTTATCTGTGCATAAGTATTCACTATAAATGGTAAAGAAATAATTTTCCTGATTCTTTTCAAAAAGCTAGTGCTAATTAAATGATTAATATTACTTTCTTACTGTTACTTTTCATACAGAATGACAAGCAACGCAGTGATTGGCACATTGTGTAAATATTGTATTTTCTTATGGAAGCTTTTTTGTTCTCTTATCTGTAACCTGCCTGTTTTTTCCAATGCCTTTCTGTGTGCTATTTTCTATTATTTAATTCAATAATCTTTAGCACTGACATGTGTAATTTTGTTGCACTGAAGTGCTTATACTACTATTACCATGACTTCTAAGAAGTTACCTTCTAAACATCACCAAACAGGCTCTTATATCTCACCTGATATTGTAGATTTTCTTTTAAAATATGGCACAGTCAAAATTGTTTTTCCTTATTTAAAAATCAGTGTAGCAACCTGGAAGGATGGCCCAACTAATCTCTGTGAAGTCTACAAAATTTTGTGCTCGAATGCCAGTGAAATCACATGAATATTAGCTCTTCAATCTTATTTTAAAATTTTAAGTTAGGAACCTCTTTCTGCTCTATGAAGTGCCTTTGCTGTAGCTGGGTAGGAGTTATTCCATTACTTGTAAGCAAACGGTTTACATAGTTATGCACAAACACCTTACTGTGGTTGTTCAACTGATGGCATTTCTACTGTTCTGTTATTTTATGGACTTGTGGTCTTATAGAGTTAAAATTAATTCTTGATCTTATTGAAGGTGGCTTTTTTTTTCCAAGGCACTTTTGAATTACAGCCTCCTGTACATTGTCCTTTTCTTCCGATGGAAGCCTGATATCATGCATCTTATGCAGAAAGGAGATCTCTGAAATCCTTACTCCTCATTATACATCGGAACTTTATCTTATGCTGAGTGTTGTCTGCTAGAAGCCACAGATAGATCTCTTGATAATTTTATGTATACTGATGGCTACTCCCCAAAAAGAAATGAGAATTGTGTCTAATTTTCTCTTGCAGACCTTCCTATGACTGGATGAGAAGAGTTACACAAAGGAAGAAGATTTCTAAGAAAGGAAAAGCCTGCCTACTTTTTGATCATCTGGAGCCCATTGAACTAGCTGAACATCTCACTTTTCTGGAGCATAAATCTTTTAGGAGAATTTCTGTAAGAAGCCTCCAACTTTGTTGTTTGCAGATAGGACCCTGTCCTAGGAAAGGGCGTTCATATTGTTTAACAAAACATTTTTTTTACATTTAATTTACTGTGTAAGAGAATATGCTGTCATATTGTCTTCTAGCAGGCAGTTCTAGCAGCTAAGATGACCAAGAAGTCAGTGTTGGCTGGTATTGCTACAGCTCCCTACACAAGCTGAAATTCCATCATAAGCTTCTGAAAATCCAAATTTAAGGGAGAGCTGAAGAATGCTTTCCAGAAGTTCTCGGGAAATCTAATTCTAGTGGTAGCCATCCGTGTGGAACAATATCCATGAACACACAGGAATGAACAATATCAGAATGAGCAAGATTTAGCAGAACTAGCTGCTTGTGCTATGAATTGATCAGTTGTAGATGTAGGAGGAAGACATAGGAAAACTGATGCATAGTTAGCTTCTTGAGTTGCAGTTCAGACTCTTGTTAGGAGCTCCTGTTGACTTCAGCAGTGCCCAGATTTTGCTCTTTACATCAATAATGTTCTTGATCAGGTATTGGAGTGAAGTGAAAGCTCCTTTTTATATGCTTCTTGCTTGTAGCACTAGGTCATTCCTATACAGTATCATTGTATGAGGATGTTAAGTAAAACTGCACAAAATAAAATGTCTTAAGTGTTGAGTAAATCGTGGGGAAAAATGATTCCATAGAAGTAATAATCATATTCATCATGCATGCCTTAGTATTACCTGGCATTCAAATGCTGAAGTTTTAAGTGATACAGCAAGACCTGTAAATAAGACAAAAGAAAACATTTTAAGAAAGTACTGATATGCAGCAGGGTCTGCTGAGCATCAGCTGTAGTCACTTTCTAAACAAGAACAGCTTTGACGGGGAAAAAATATCAAAGTTTCGATTTGACTCTGAGGTTGTCCACCATTTTACTGAAAATGTCTTTCCCTTTCCTTGTTAGTTCACAGACTACCAAAGCTATGTGATCCATGGCTGCCTGGAGAACAATCCTACTTTGGAGAGATCTATTGCTTTGTTTAATGGTATCTCCAAGTGGGTCCAGCTCATGGTTCTCAGCAAGCCGACACCCCTGCAAAGGGCAGAAGTGATCACGAAGTTTATCAATGTTGCACAGGTATGTCTTGTTTATGAGTCTCCTTCCTCCAATATGAAGCAACAATATAGAGATCACAGGAAACAAGTGAACTGGGTGCTCTTTGGGCTGTTTCCTGAATGAAAAGTCTGTTCAACATAACTGCTAGTTATTTCTTCCAGGTGTGGCACATCTGCATTTTTTAGAAGACAAAAAATAAAATGTATTTTTTCTTTGTTGTACTCTGTTTCCCAACTGTCATTATCACGTGTTTCTTGTGGAACTAATCTAATTTAAAAAATAATTGCTGAATTCCCTTATATCCCTTGTCTTAGTTGTTTCCTATGCAGCAATGGTAGGACATTTCCTTTAGCTTGTCTTCTGTGATACTGGATAGCTGCCATACATACCCTTATTTTTATTTTTTCATGATCCATCTCTTCTACAGAAACTCCTTCATCTCCAGAACTTCAACACACTGATGGCAGTTGTGGGAGGTCTTAGCCATAGCTCTATTTCTCGCCTGAAAGAGACTCATTCTCATCTGTCTTCGGAAGTCACAAAGGTATGGTGGACAACCAAATGTAAAGATATTGAGCAGAACATCCCTTCTTGAAGGTCTGTTGAGTTCTGCAGTTCAGGTCTCACCAGCACAATACTTGGATCTTGGCAGGGTATCCTAGGGGACTGGGCTTGGGCTTCTCTCAGTGGAGAAGAATCGACTCACAGAGATTCTCTGCTTGATTGCCTGTATTAGAGAGAAAATTAACTCTGTTGACTCAGCCACAAGTTATGCTCATTAAAACAGATTAAGGAAATGCTAAGAATGCTTTCACAAGAACTTGCTTCTTTGGCTATTTGTAGGACTGGAATGAAATGACAGAGCTGGTCTCTTCCAATGGAAACTACTGCAACTACCGCAAGGCTTTTGCTGACTGTGTTGGCTTCAAAATTCCTATTTTAGGAGTTCATTTGAAAGACTTGATTGCTGTCCATGTCATTTTTCCTGACTGGATAGATGAAAATAAAGTAAACATAGTGAAAATGCAGCAGCTTTCCATCACCTTGAACGAACTGGTTTCCCTGCAAACTGCTTCTCATCACTTAGAGCCTAATATGGATTTAATTAACCTGCTAACAGTAAGTATTGTGCAACTTCCAATTTACTTCTGCTATTTAGATGTTGAATGCCAATACAAAGTTGAGTGTACATTGTTATAACATTTTTTTTTATTTTAAAAAAGAGGCAATGCAGAATAGAAACAAGTTCATGTGAGATGTGAATGTATTCAGAGAGTATGTGATGGCTGGATACAGAAACAGAAAACAGTTGCATTGATTCATTTATTTAAAAAAAATAATGGAGAGAGAGATGCTTCTGTATTAAAAGGAAAACGTTCTGACTACTTAGAATTTAGGCTTTTGCAAAGTTTGGGCTATGTGTTGGAATACTTACATCAGTGAAATTCTAACTTGGGAGTAACTTTGTTCCTTCTCCCCTGTGCTTTGTAAATGATACAGTGTTCTTCCTGTACTGTAAATAAATGTATTCCTATATGATGTTAAATAGTTCCTGAAAAAACATCCACAAGTTTCAGTGCTAAAAGGGATTTATTTTAAGTCCCCTTTTTTTTTTTTATATGTAGACAATTAGTGTCATTTGATAATAAATACGATGCTTAACTTCAAAAGATATTGAAGCGTGCCCCCTGAATCTACTGACCAAATTCTGCTTCTGCTGAAATTTTTTCAAATTAGCATTGATCTTAACTGCAGCAGCATTTGATCCAGCACCATGGTTTGATTAGAGGCAAAAACCAGTTGGAATTAAAGACAGGAGCAGTGAAACTTGGAGGAAAGGAATGTTGTTAGTTAAAACAGTTCATGTTGCAGATAAAAGCAAGCCATCTACTCATCTGAGAGCTGTTTTTTAAAGATGTCACTTTAGAAAAAGGACTCTCCCGATGTGTGATCATTTTATGCTGTTTCTATTCTTATTTCACTTTGTCCATCAGATCTCTAATCCAGACTGAAAGAGAAGCTGCCTTCTGTCATTAAGTCAGTAGAATTCTTTTCTAAGTAAACTTAGAATCAAACAAGGTCTGTCTGAGACAGAATAAGATAGATTTGAGAACTTTTCCAGTGATTCTGTTTATTTTATTGGCTAGCATGAACTTTTCTAGATCAACTTTTTCTCCAGATTTCTCTTGTCTCTTTTAAATGACAGACAAAAGCTAGATCAAAGCCAGGGAACGAATTTGGCTCTGAACTGCTGTGCTCATCGCTGCCTGGAGAGGTGGGAGCTGAATTCCAGCTTCTCTTCTGTCAGGTCATGGATCTCAGATGAATTTCATTACTTGTCTCTTTCTATGTGAATGCCTTGAGTGGGCACTATTGAGCAGGAGCTTAGATTTTTTCACTTTACTTTAAAATGCTCAAATATATGTTTATCAGAAATTTATGCAGAGTTTGTACTTTGTGGTGGATTTGTTCTGGAACTGATCAGGTACAGTGACTGACAAAAATGAGCCTGAGCTTGGAGCTACCAATCTGGTGTCACTTCATTAAGGAATAGGACAAACTTTTTCTGTTGCACTTTGTATGAAGCAAACGGGAGCACATCTTAATCACAGCTGGTGGGGCAGTGAAGAGAAGGGGCCACATTATAGCCCACGGTAATGCCTCTCTAATTTGATCATACACAGATATTTATCATCTTGTTTTGTTTCAGTAGGGATTGAGCATTGTTTCTCATCTCGAGTTCACAGTTTCTGACAGATTTGTCTGCAAGTAGGGGGAAGTGGAACATCAGATTTTAGAGAACTGAGGAATAAGAAACTGAGCACCCAAGGGCACAAATTAGACAATGTGAAGTGAGAAATGGAAGCTGAACTACTGCTGTCATTTTGATTAGCTGCCACACTCTTTTGGGTAACGGTCTGCATTTCAAAAGGAGCTGAAAGCATCAGATTTTTCTAAGACTTGCAGTTTGATAGCCATCGTTGTACAAGTTCTTGTTTTTTACCCATTTTTCCATTTTAAAAATATTTTTTGTTTTCAGCAAAATGAGATTTTATTTATATTTATATAATATTTTTTCCAATCTGTATTTCATTTACCAGGAAGAGTAATTGAGTATAAGAGTACTACTTCATTCATGATGCTCTGATGTATTTGTTCCTCATATTGCACTGCTGGCTTTCTAATAGTTGAGCCAATCTGACTGTAAATAATTGAAGTTGCATGCTGCAGTGTTAATCCCAGGCCTGATCAGGGGTTAAAATTAACTTGTGCCACTTTTTGTCTACTGTCATGATTCCATAGTTGTAACTGTTCAGTAGTGATGAAGATGGCCATAGATGTCCTAAGACTTTTCCAGGGTAATTCTGTCTGTTTGTTGAGTAGTGTAAGAGTTTTCACTTAAGACAGCTACTTCTGGAAGGTTAGAAATAAATTTGTACCAGATACCACCTGGACGTGAGTTTTGGTAGACCTCATACTATTTGAATATTCCAACTTCTCTTCCAGCGTGTTCCAGTTATGTTTGGTTCTCCTTTGTACCATATGAATACATTTCAGTCCCTTTACTTACAGTTGTCTCTTGAACTGTATTAACAAACTTATGTGGCAGATGAAACATTTCTAACAATCCTTTTGTTAATAAGAAAGTTATAAATTACAGGCTGGGGTCAAAGAAAGAGAAGAAAAGCTGGGGTCTCAGCCCAAAGCTGACAAGAACTGCAGGCTGAAAATAGCTGACCTTGGGATGTGCAAACAGTCTTTTAGCAGATTTAGCCTCCCTTGCTGCCAAAGTCAACCTCAGTTTTCAGAGCCAGAGAAAGTAATTATTCAGTTTATTGCTATGTCTTTCTGCTATAATACATCTTTTAGTTAATTCCAAAACTGGTAAATGCACGTAAATGCATTGTTTGTGCTGTGCTCTTCATTTGTACATCAATCAGCTGGCTCAGCTATTTGTTTACTTTTGCTGTTTTCTCAGCAGAAGCCGTTTCTATCTGGGAGAGCTTTTAGTAGGTGTTTCATCCTGATAAGCAATGTGTAAATCTCTTGTCTGGCCTCTGTCCCTTGCGCTGCATCCTTTTACATCACACTTAGCAAGTGCCACCAATCTGGGCTGTGCTGGCATGACAAGTTCATCTCTGGGTGCTGGCTTCCTGGGCCACAGCTTGCACAGTGCAATAAAAAGGGCATTTCATCAACTAAGTGGGCATATGGGAATTTGCCTTGGTGTTTCTTTTCCACAGTGATGAAAATCTGTCTTCTTTGGAGAAGCTGAGCCTTTCAAGTGTTTTGGAAATGGTTATCATGGAGACTGTGTTAAGAGCTATTGAGTGATTACTGGCTTAAAAGCTGGGCCAGAGAACGTGGTAGTAAACCTCAGACTCCTTGATAAAGGTGAACGGGTGAAAAGAGAATTTAAATCTCTCTGTTTTCAGTGTTAGCTGCTGCATGACCATTTTTCAGGGGGAACTGGAGTTCTCTCCACAAATAAGGCAATGGTTTGTTGTTTGGTAGGCAATTGAGGCAAACACCAGGTTTAGTCGCGCAGGAGGCTGCAAAGGCTGAGAGCAAGCTTTAATGATGTGAATTCTCACTTGGCTGTGTGTAAGTAAGGGCAAATTACTTGGGCAAGAGACCTGAATGTAGCATGACTTGGCTGCCTGGGAGCATGTTACATGCTTACTCTTAGTCTGTGCTCCTCAATCCCCTTTCCTGAGCTATTGCCCACACTTGCTCTGTTCTCACTGACTGCACCCATTCTATGTTCTGACAGGAACAAAGAAGCAAAAGTGGTAAAAACAAACCTAAGCACAAGTTTGGCAGTGCAACCAAGAGGATTAATGGCTCTAGGGACAGGTTCATAATTAGAACATAGGGGAGTTGGACTAGATGACCTGTAAGTGCCCTTTCCAACTGAAACAATTCTATGGTTCTATGATTTTCTTACCTGTTGTGCACTATTTCCACATTGTTTTTATTTCACTACATGAATAAAAGCCTGAGGGTAAATGTCCCATCATTTTCTGTGGATAGGAAGAGGACTTCAGTCTCTTCATTAGTCCACAGTGGATTTATACTGAGTTACAGCTTATTTGGTGCCACTATTTTCCCCCCAGCTATTTTTAGGTCTCCATGGCTATTTAACCAACCTGTTCTAAGACTGTATGCAAATGGCTGGAAAGTCCCCATCGCTTGTACAGTCTAGTGAAGAGAATGAGAAATGTCTAAACAGCTAAATTGAAAGTCACCCTCCCCAACTTTTCTTCAGTAAGTTCCACATATGAAAAAAGCCATGCCTTTCTGATCCCCCTCTGCTTTCCTCACACCCCTCCCTGCCAAATTACTAAGGAGAACATGACAGCAAGGAGAGTCAAAAGAGACTGGAAACTGCCACTGTAAAGGCTGTCCTAAGAAGACTCATTGCATTTCATCTGTTGGCACAAAACTGTAGCCTAAATACAAAAGACAGCTTATTTAACCAATATGTAATCACCTTGCCTAAGGAAAGATGGTTATTGGGCCTGGTTCTGCTCCTTACTAAGTCTGCTCTTCAAGTTCTCTGAAAATAATCATCTGTTACAGCTGTTTATACAGTAGTAATTCCATCTGCCTGCTGTGGAACATTCCAGCTTAACTGGGGATTTGAAAGATGAATGATAACTTCAAATCAAGCCAATTAATCCAAAGCCAATTGATGCAAGGAGATGACCACAGGAAGCATGCAATGCTCAGCTCATTGCATAAAACTGGCCACAGCGGGGAACACCTCAGCAAGGAAGAGTTCACTGCAGACATGTGCCACTGCACGACCACAGCTGCCAGAGCAAAAATGTTCATTTTACTTCCACTATATTTAAGTCCCTTGTTTTCCCTCAGCAAATCCTCTAGCGAAAAGGATGAGTACATGAAAGAAAAATCTTTAATTTTACCTAGAAACAGAAGCTGAAAGGGAATTTGTGTTGCTCAGCATGAGGGGACCAGGAATGGGCCAAACTGGACTACTGAAGTATCCTTGGATATGAGGATAGAGCCAGAACCAGTAAAAAAGACAGTGGGCCAAACCAGAGCACAGGAAGCTCCCTCTGAACACCAGGCACAAGCTGCCCAGAGCCTCCTGGGCACGGCCCTGGGCACCTGCTCTGGTGTTTAGTACCAGGGGGAGATATCTTCCTGCTAACAAACCTGTTGTATCTGACCCTGTCTAATAAATGTTACTATCTTTCTCTCTTTTTTACCCATAGCTGTCCCTGGACCTCTATCACACTGAGGATGACATCTACAAGCTCTCACTGGTGCTAGAACCAAGGAACTCCAAATCTGTAGGTCATCTTTTACCACATTTTTTTCATATTATTTAGCATTTCTGCATGAAGCTTTTTTGTATTTTTTGAATGTCCATTAATCAGTTTCTTTCATATTCACCTTAAACTTTTTATTGTATATTATTCTGTATGTAAAGAAGAATGAAACTAGCCAGAGTTTAGTGAAGTCTCTAGAAAGCAGAGTTCTGCTTTATGTGAAGATAACCTTTATAAGCGCCTATCAAGATAAGGCTGCATTGGTACACTTTGTAGTATGCTTTTTAAGTTAGAGATAAACATCTTAATAGTTGACATTTTGTTTAAAGTATTGCTCTCTCTCCAGCTACCAGCTTTTGGGACTTCCTCTGTCCTGTGAGCATTTCAGCACCCTCACTGCCTGTCACATCCAGCACATGATCCTCACAAGCTGAGCTCTCACTCTGACACCAGCTGAAAATAAGGGTGGCTGGAAATGCACAGTGGGGTGTGACAGGGAGAGACCAGTACTGGGAGGTCTTTCTTTTCGGTGCTTTTTATACTTTTGTATCTTCTTAAAAGGAGAAACAAGGATGCAAAAGCCCTTAGCTATTAAGTATAGGACTTACCTGACTTTAAGAATAGTTCATCACTTTTGGAGACCAGCTTGAAGATTGCATGTGTGTGGTTTCAATGGAGGATGATGGGCAATATTGAGTAGTTCCACAGTCAGCACTAATTCAGTCTGAATACCTGGAATTTCGCTGATGAGTCTCCTGTCCGCACTGGGTGTAATTTGACCACAACTGTTCCCTTTGCCACAGTTATTCTGGCTCCCTCTTGCTTCCTTCACTGCCAGTAAAGTTGGGCAATTACAGCTCTGTGCTGTGGAAGGAGTGGATCACTGCTGTAAGTGAGGAGAATTACAAAGCAGTATGAGTACCCAGCTGTTATTGGAGACTTTGATGCTGTGTTCAGTGAATACCCAGGGACTACCTAGTTTGCTGGGTTTTTTTTGCTTGTACAGCCAATGGCTTATGGGCATCTCTGCCCAGCACAATTCTGCTACTGAGGGTGCACTAGCATAGATATTTTTTGCTTCAGTATAAGATGGATTTAAATGCCAACATATAAGCATTGGCACCAAATATATATATATATATATATAGAGAGAGAGAGAGAGAGAGAGAGAGAGAGAGAGTTTGATTACTCAGAAGAAAGAGGAATGCTCCAGTGGATTTGGTTTCTTTCTGCCACTGTGTGTACTCAGAGCAGCAGGAGCTCTCTGTGAGTCTGTAGTAGTCCAGCACCAGTGTGCTAATTCTTTGAGTCCCATTAACCTAAATATTTTTTGAGAGAAGGAACACATCAAACCACAGTTGTAAGGATGTCACAATACTGGCATGTTTTGTGTTATCGTATAACATGTTGTCTCTAAAAGATTGCTGCATTCCTGTGTGTTTTTAGAGCAAAAATATTTGCCAGCAGGTTGTTTCATCACTGTATGGTGACATTAATCTTAGGATTAAAAATGTTCCCTAAGTGCTACTGACATGAGTTGAGTGTTGAGTGTTACTTGTTGGAATTCAGTTCTGTGGATATAGGGATTATTTTCTTCTTAAACTCACCTGAGCACACTAATATGGTGAGTCAAGAGCACATCCTTTTTTTTTTTTCCTATCAAACACAGTATAGTATGACCCTGTGACCCTTTTTCATCTCAGTGTGAAAGTCTACAATATCCTTATCATCACAATAATATAACATTTTTCATTAGGCTTGTTTATCTCCCTCTCGTGATGGCGGGGCTCCTTAGGGGCTCTGTCAAGATGAAGAACAGTAGGTTTCTATGCTATTCCTGATTCTCATTGTGTCCAGAGACTCTCCTTCCTGCCCCCAAGTTTCACTGCTGTTGAAGTTGGCTGCAGTGCTGCCATATGGTGCTGCTTGTTATGAGAACTCACATTTCATAATTCACATTCTAACATCATTGTGTTTGATTGGTCTCCTAGCAGCCTACCTCCCCAACAACCCCAAGCAAACCAGTGGTGCCACTGGAGTGGGCATCTGGAGTGGTACCTAAGCCTGACCCAACCGTCATCAACAAGCACATAAGAAAGTTAGTGGATGTAAGTACTCAAAAGAATATATCAAAGGGAATGTTCATTTTGATACTGTAATCATTGTAAACAATTTCATTCGAGGTTTTTGAGCAATTATTGTGATGGGGATAAATTTTAAATATCTGTTAATGAATTTGAGCTCTTGCTGATACGTTCAGAACTATTTCTATTTTAGTCCAGAAATCAGAGCTAACACTTATTAAGCAGGTTTCCAGAGGCAAAAATGGCAAATTTTCAAGGACTCACACATCACTAAGCCCAGAGAAGGTCTCTGGAAAGCCTCCCCTGGACCAAGCGTTCTACTGTGCTTATCTGCTGGCAAGAGACTGGTTTCTTGGTTTCGGTATGTCAGTGCCTGGTGGCCAAGCTGTCCAAAGTGTATTATGCATAGTAAAGATAGTACAGTCTTAGTGTCACTTTGAAAATCTCGTACGAGGTCACAAAGAGTTCCAGCTGTGGTCTTGCAGCTACAGAATGAAGGAGGCATGATGAATGATGCAAACAAAGCTACACAGTGGAAGGTCCCATTGGAGAGACAGAGCCCTGTTGTGTTGGCGTGTGAGGGACTTTTGGTGAGGAACCAGGAATGCGCTGTAGATAATGAAGCAAGATCTCCTTCTGCTTTTCACAAATTAATAACTAACTCTGAGGGGAACTATTAAATTCTGATCTCGTCCATATTAGAGGTCAATAAATGGGATTATGTAGTTAAGGTAAATTAAAGTCTTTAGTCACTCAACCAGACTACACATCTATTTTTTGGTTTCCTCTTTGTAGGTGCTCTTTCAAAAAAACAGAAAACAGTTTTCTTCTTTCTTAGAAAGATGCCAGAACTGCACGTGGTGTTCCTATGTTGTTGTTGCCATTGTCACATGTTGATAAAAATCACCCAAAACTCTCCTTGTTTAAACCACATCCGTTGCAACTCCTTCATCTTTTCTGAACATGGTGGCCAAGGGAAATGCAGGCCCCTGTTCCACAACTTTAGCCTTGTTCAGGACACACGATATTGAGTCTCGCAGAATTAAAACACAGACTGGTTATAGATACAGCTCACAAAGAGACCCACATCACCCTGTACAACTGTCAGCATTTTTCCAGTCTTTGTCATTTGCTAGCTGCCTTGGGTTGTGCTTCAATGTGTTGGTCTCAGTATAAAATGCTTTAATGTCCCTTACAGATCTCCTCAATTATTGTAAGACAGGATATAGGAATTCTTCAGCAGCTAAAGAGGGCTTGCAAAAGTTCATGCAATCCTTTAAATTTGGTCCCATATCTATCTCTACTTGGTGTAGCGGAGGTCCTGTGATCAGAGGGAGCTGGTTGAGGGAGGAAGTAGTTATTAGATGGAATGTACTTGTGATCTGGATGTCAAAGTATTAGTAAGAAAATAGGACTGAAACAGCACTGTGGCAGAGCAGAAGTGACTGACTGAAGGCAAAGTGAATCCGAGAAATCTGCTGTTGGGTTGTTTTGTGCTTGGTTTCCTTTTTGTGATATTCTTAATAAAACAAAGGGAGTATGTCACACAGGGCAGAATTTTAGTGACATTTCCAAAAAAAGAAGAAATAATACCATGCACAACTATGACTGAGGAGGTGTAGAGGAGTTCCAGTAGTTAAGTACTGAGGTCAAGTTTTCTTTAAAAATTAGCCTTTTTTTTCCCCTCTGCAGTCCAATAAATATGCATATTAAAGTGCCAATTAGCATTGATAGTAATAAAACAATGGATAGAACATGTGATTAGTAAAGTTGAATATTAATATAAATGTGATTGAGGTTGAAGAGATAGTACAGATTCAGGACAGTCTGGGTGGTATGACAGTAATTTCCTTCTGTTTCCAGTCTGTCTTTAGAAACTATGATCATGACCATGATGGCTACATTTCTCAGGAAGACTTTGAAAGTATAGCTGCAAACTTCCCCTTCTTGGACTCTTTCTGTGTGTTGGACAAAGACCAGTAAGTTTGGAGCTCTCTTGATTTGTTATTTTGTTTTCTTTTTGTTTTTTGGTTTTTTTTTTTTTTTTTCTTAATTTACAAATACTTCAAAACAAAATGTTGAAGAGGCAGTGTCTTCCAGACCTCCAACCCTCTCATGTCTGTCTTCTCTCTTAAGGAAATTAGTATCACTGAATGTTGAATTCTATTCTCATTTAACTTCTTATGTTAAGTAGGTCCTATACTTTCACCCAGACTGCAGTCCTACTTTATCTGATGCTTTAAAAAGCATCTCTATTCAAATAGATGCAGCCCCGTCTGCCAAGGGAAAGACTGAGTGTAGTCAGTTGTGATGTAAGGATGTGCTCCAAAAGACTGAGCAGCAGGAGGATGTGTTTGGGCAGTCCCTTCATTTTGAATTCCCCAGGCTGCCTGGTTTGTTGTTCCCTTGCAGTGCTCCACATGAATCTGTGGATACGTCTGGCAGCTGAACGCCTCCAGCCAAGGCTTTCAGCTTAGCAGAGCTGGGGATCTTCACAGCCTGGGAAGTAGCTAAAAGCTCTGTTTAAATAACATACAAAGGTTTTTTTTTTTGTTTTGTTGAACTGTGTTCGGTAAAACCTTGGGTTACTTGGGAACTTGGATCCAGTACTTAGCATGCAGGTCCTGTCTAGACACCTTCCCATATCTTATGGCCTCTTGTGCTATAGCAATCGAGCACTCCATTTGCTATTTGGTAGACTGGTGACTAACACCAACCTATAAGCTCTGCACAGCTGGCTGAGGCAGTGGTGGCCATAGGCCTCAGGAGTCTCCTTCACACGATGGCCTGCTCTGTGCCACCAAATTCTCTGATATCCTGAACAACTGAAGGACCAAGGCCCATGCTATGAATTCGGTGTTTGAAGCTTAATGAAGAATAAGAACCACAAAGGCTATAAGGGAAAGCTTGTTTCTTCTGCCAGGACTGTTCTAGCATTTTCCAAGAACATCCTTTGCGTGCTGCATGCTTTTTGTAGCGAGAACATACTGCTGGGTTCAGTGTCATTAGCAGTAACAGATCTACTCTACTTTTTTCCTAACAGAGATGGACTCATAAGCAAAGAAGAAATGATGGCTTATTTTCTGAGAGCTAAATCCCAGTTCCAGTGTAAAATGGGACCTGGGTTTATTCACAACTTCCAGGAGATGACCTATCTTAAGCCAACTTTCTGTGAACACTGCGCAGGTTTTGTAAGTTTGTTTTTGTAATCGTAAATCTTACTCACAATTTCTTATACTCCAGCGTAGATGGGGTAAACCTGGCTCCGTGCACTGTTGAAGTTTCTTCAGCTTAGCCAAATGTCTCATTGCATTTAGAAGCACAAGGTATTTCCTCCTGCTGTAGCTGCAGAACCCACTTGTGTTTTGGTGGTTCCTGTATACTGACATTTGTAAGAATTGCTGTTGCAGGTAAAAAGATAAACTACGTTAGCTAAGGGACATTAGGGACTGTATGAATGGCCTCATGTGGTTTGTCTTAATTTCTTTAATTCAGCTTGATTTCTCATGTAAACAAACTCCAGGGAAAATGGATGTCTGGAATGGTAGATGTAGATGAAGCAAAAGCCATTCTGTCTCAAGACATGCACATGGCATCATACCTCCGCTCATAATTTTCTGAACAGCCATAACAGCCTTTATCCTTTCTCTACTGAATTAACAGAACTTCTATTTTTGTCAAGAAACGGGCTGCCAGCAGTTCTATAACATGAGAAACTTTTGAATGTTTTGGGGTTTTTTTAAGCTGCTTATGGCTTATAAGACACCATTTATTGGAGTGCTGTATACAAAATGTGAGCACTTGTGTGGCTTGCAAACCTCTCCCAACTTTTTCCACTTCTAGTGCCATACAGAAACATGAATTATTATAGTTTAGATGTCACTTATGGATGCAGCAGATGTGCATGTTTGTGCACATCTGCATGCAGCCACCCAGAGGAGTGAGAAAGGCTGGAGGCCACCAGGGCAGAGGCTCCTGCTTTCTGCCCACGTGTGGCCCAGCTCAGGGTGTAAAACCAGAATATGTCCCTGCTGCACCATGCTAGCCTGCTGCATATAGCAGCAGCAAAATATCCTGCTTCTGCTATGTGACCTTTCCCACTCAGTCATACTTCTTTGTGGCTGAAAGTTACAATGACAGCACCACCAAGTACAAAAACATACCTCATCTCAGACTGGCCCTTTTCCCTCACTTCTGCTTGGCACCCATCACACCAGGACCTTCGTGTTCCCTATCGCAGCTGCTGATCAAGGCTGGGGAAGAAGGAATTCTGCCCATTTCCACTGGAACTGCAGAAGCCTCAAAGACGACAGTCAGTGCTGATTCAGAAGCCTGCAGGCAGGCTCTGCAGCTCCACTCCAGAAGAAAGAACATTGGGAACTGGCCTGAGCCTATTGTTTTGGGCTGCCTGTTGCCTTAGGAAGACATCATTGCATTCGTGACACTTAGTTCATGCTTGGAAGGCTTCCGTCGCCAAGTTGGGCTGAGGAGTGTCCTGCAATGTCCTCTTTACCAGATATTTTTCTCCCTTATCAGTTTGCTTGCTGGCTTTTTCCATGTCTTCATGATTACAACTGGCACAGGAATAAAAATAAGTAAGGGATTGGGGAGGAAATGGAAATAAGGTCATTTTTCCTGCCAGCTCACTGCATTCACTAGCATTGTCCTGTGGATGAGCTGGGCTGACAGGACAGGCACCAGCCACTGTGTGTTTGTTGTGCATTTCAGCACTGTCCAACCAACCATGGGTGGAAACTGTTTTGAACTGATGCAGTGATTCACCGTCAAAAAAATGTGAACTGACCATGCAGCAGGATGAATGGATGTGACAGCACACTGGCTCCATTACCAGTCAAACATCTAATATTAAAACAAGATGAACTTTAAAGGTCAAGCTACAATCTAATGCCATTCACAGAGTGAAATCAATACTCTCGCTACCAGTCTCAGTTCCGACCCACAGCTTGCCTTGCACCCCACGTCAGGGTGAGTGAGCAGCCATCCCCTCCAGCTTGGCCGTCCATATTTGCACAGATCCTCTTACCCTGGGCCTGGCTGAAGGCAGCTTTGTCATAGAGCCGTGTCAGGTGGATTCAAAGTTTTAGGTCAGGATTCATGTTACATTAAGGAGAAAGCTCTCCAGAGGGAACAGAGCGGAGCTTTGACAACAGGAAAAGTAATCCACACCCCATCAAGTGGATCTGGCAAAGAGCTGGGGAAAGCATAGCCAGGGGTGGCTTTTCCAGGAGGGGCCAACCACAGCTCCACAGTCACTGCACATCTACAGCATCTGCAGGAAAAGACCAGCTTGGTAGCCTTCTGCAAAGGAGGGATGGCAGTAGTAGATGAAGAGCAACTCATGTAATCTACCTGGACTTCAGCAAGGCTTTTTATATGGTTCCACAAAATATCCTTGTCTCTAATTGGAAAAACATAAGCAGTTCTGTCTTACACAATATGCAAGGTTTTTTTACTCTTTCTTTTGTGCTCCATAAGGACTGTGACTCTTCCTGTTGACCATTCTTTTACTCAGCACATTTCTCCCACACACTGCATACTTTCATAGAGGAGCCACATGCGGCTTCAACTGTCTAGTTGTGCTTACCTTCGCTATTTATGTTTTGAGGGAATTCAGGATAAATAAACACTGCAGTCTCTCATCTTTTTCCTTTAGAACTGGACTATACTCTCCTCCCTCTGAGTGTACAGATAACAGTTTGCAGGGGATTTTTTTTCTACTTCCAAGTTCACATCACAGTGACAGCTTCCCAAAAGCAGAACATGCGCATGCTGCCACATGGAAGGCCAACATTCAGTAAGGACAGCCTCTGGGAGGAGGCAAAGAGGAGTACAGTGAATTGTCTGTCTGTTTTGGGCTTCGACCATTCTTAATGGAAGAAATCAGGTGAATGGATCAGTCCATGTTTGGGAACCAGCTCCAAAGCCACAGAGTGACTTTGTCCCCAGTGGTGTTTTTGTCTGCCATGCTTGTAGAGTACAGGCCCATTCATATGGCTGGAGACCAGATGTGTCATGGGAATGATCCCTCAGATGGCTCAAAACAAGCCAGAAGCAGAATGTGCTTTGCTGGATTTTGTAAGCCTGATAGGACAGTGATTCTTTTACCCATTCCTGGCAGTACGCATCAGCTGTGCCGCTGCTTCTCCAGTAGTCCCACTGCAGGCAGAAGGGGGAAGCCACACAAGGCTTATCACATTTAGAGGAGGAGGTCTGCCTGACAGGAAGGGTGTTAAGAGCAGTTGTATCCTGTTTGTGCTTCTGTAGCCATTGGTACTTCCTCATTGTGACCTCGCTTTCCGTCCGGCTTTCTTTTCTGATTCCTTGACTTTTTTTTTTTTTTTTTTTTTTTTTTTGTCTTTGCAGCTCTGGGGTATAATCAAACAAGGCTACAAATGTAAAGGTAAATAAATATACTGCATGGATTTTTCACAATTCAGGTGGTGGGTTTTAGCAGAAGTCAACTGTATTTTTCACTGAAGTGGCAGCCAGATTTTGCTTGAATAGCCCATACTGACTGTGACCAGGAAGTGGTTGCTGCATCCCACAAAGCCTCACTGTAGCAGGAGAACACCAGAGCTGAAGGCCCCCCTCCCCCAGCAGCCCCTGGGATCTTCAGGGGATCTGCAAGGTGTCAGTTTGTGCCAACAAGAAGTGGCATCTTGGAAAGCCGAGTGTCCTTATCCTAGCAGGGAGACATCCTGAAATACATACCATGGGGTCAGGAAAAGGTCTGCTGGCAGCACTGTCCATATCATGTACATCCCCATCATGCCTGTACTGCAGGCTTGCTGTCCATGCAATGCATCAGTGGCTGAGCTAGAAATAAACAAATATTTAATTCTTGGACTGTCTTGCAATGACATCTGCTAGGTCTTCTGCAGAAGTTCAGCTTAAAAAAAAGTCCCAGAACTCTCATATCTCTCACTTTCCTTCACTAAATTTTTTAATTGCTCACACTGTAACAAGCAGATGAGAACAAGAAAGCTGTAGTGGTCCATTGACCCCAAAAGCCCAACCCTATTTATTTCTCTGGCTGCAGCTCTGTTATGCACAATGCTGGGGCTTCATGATCATGTTTATAGGCAAGCTCCTTCCCGTTAGTCTTAGCCTGGCTCCTAGGAGAAGGGTGAAGGATTGACAGGATGGGTTTTTTTAGGACACTCCCTGTTCCTGTCTCCTTATCCCACACGTGAACTTCTCCTTTGCAGGGGTGGGGAACTTGCCCATGGTCTGAGCAACTACAACAGAGCCAGCTGTGGGCTATGCTCTTACCATCAGGCTGCAGGAAGGAAGGTAAAAGTAAAGTTTTGCCACAGCAGCTCTGTAAACTCAACTTGAGATCTCAAAGCTGAGCGCTGTCCTGCATCATTGCTTGTAACCATGGCCCAGGGAGGAGAGAGCAAAAGCGGCTCTGCAGAATCAAAACTAACAGGCAGTGAAGCATGAGGGTAAGAGCTGAGCTTCTTGCTCAGATCTTGGTGGTCAACAAGTGCAGCCAGTGCCTGTTCCCACCTGTACCACCCGCTGCAAAACCACAGTAGGGAGGGTCCTTCAGTGCCACTCAAAGCAACAAACTGATGGGAGAAATGAGAACTCTTAACCACTGCTCTTTGTGCACTTGTGAAGTCATCATTTCTGATGACAATATCATCTCCCTCTTTCCTTCTGCTGCTGAAATGCCATAATATTACTGCTTTTAAACACAATAAATGATCCACTTTTGTAACCATATTTGTTTGGCTAAGTCCCTCCAGCACACACGTGCTGACAGCCCCGAGGGATCACCCAGTGGCTGTGACTTTACTGTCCCCCTCCTACAGACTGCGGTGCCAACTGCCACAAGCAGTGCAGGGACCTACTCGTGCTTGCCTGCAGGAAATTCTCCCGAGGAACCTCTGTGGGCAGCAACCACGGCTCCCTGCCCAGCAGCCCTTCCCTGCCACCAGGTGAGAGCACCCTTTTGTTTCTATTTTCTTTCCCTGCTTATGCAGGGGAGTTGGGCTAGATAACCTTTGAGGGTCCCTTCCAACATAAATGACTCTATGATGACTCTTCAAAGGCACTGTCCTCATTTGCCACTTGTCATTTTCCCTTTGTACCAACACACCATTGCAAACCATCATGCAATTGCATACAGTGGCACATAGTCTAGTCTTGAAAGAGATCTGACTACTAAAAGCTTCCATACGCATTCCAGAATAACAAACATTTTCTTCTGAACCCTTAAATCCCTTCTTCCCTTCCCCTTAACCAAGTTTTAAGATATCTCTTTATAAAGATCTTGAAAGAGAATATTTAAAAAGAAAAGAATTTACCTTCTTGTTCAGCCCAGGATGAAGTGTTTGAGTTTCCCAGCGTCGATGCAGAACAGCAGGACCTCGACGGCAGAGCCATCACTCTTGTCACCGGCTCCTCCCGGAAGATTTCAGTGCGGCTGCAGAGGGCGACAGCCAGCCAAGCAACGCAGACGGAACCGCTGTGGCACGAACCGGGCTGGAGTGATTCAGGGTCTCACACTTTCCCAAAAATGAAATCCAAGTTCCACGGCAAAGCTGGGAAGAACAAAGGCTTTGCAAAGTGGGAGAATGAAAAGCCCAGCATGCAGGCCAACGTAGACATAGATGCTGAGGCTCCTCAGCACATCCTGGAGCACAACGGCATAGAAACGCTTCCTGAAAGACAGGAATCTGAGGTGAGCAGAACAGAGGTCAGGACAGATTACATTCTGCTAACCCATAAGACCATAGCCTTGTAAGTCATAATACCAAATCACCCATAGAATATTATTTTTTTTTTCTTACACAGTGGCTTGTACTTACTGTAGCATTGCAAATGGGGTTTTGGCTTGGAGTTACAGTGCTGTTATGAGTTGGAATCTTTTATTTTTGAGAATCATTAACATATCTGGCCAAATCCTCTTGCACTCTGCACAAGGTCCATAAGAAGGAGCATTTGATAAACATGTGTGTCCAGGTTAGGGGCCTGGTTTCCACCTGTTTCCACCCACAGTTTGTGCTTTCGTGGCCTCATGTTTTGATTGATCATTTTTGCTAGAATGTGTTTGTTTTCTTTTGTTTACAGGATAGCTGACTGCTCACCCCGAAACACCAAAAATCAGAGATGACAATAGTAATACAGCAAAAGTTGACAGACTGCCATAGACCACTTTTGGTCATGGGAAATTTTCCTGTACCTCATACTTCTAAATTCAGCCATCACCCTGTTTTCCTAGCTGATAGGTGTTAAAAAAAGCACTATTTATTTTCGCACACGATTAAGCCATTTGGAAGAACATTGCACAGACACAGCAGAACAGATCTCTGCACTCAGTGTTTTCTCTTGTATGATTTTGTGGAAACTTCCCCTCCGTGCCAGTGAGGATATATTTGGCATCCTTTAAAAGTACTGCATCATCTCAGCATGCCTGCCAGCAACAACAGCGGTGAGGACAGAAGCCAACCATCCGCATTCATTTGATAAGACTCCTTTTTCAGAGGCTTGTAATGATCTCTTAAGGAAAGAAGTAGGTGTGGATGTTGATTAAATCTCAAAACAAAACAAAAAAAAAAACAACAACAAAAAACCACCAAAAATGACAAACCCACAACTCCTTTCATAAAGTCCTCTACAGTGAAATCCCTTGCACACCTGGGGTTTTGAATTTTGGACACATTTACATTGCTACGATGAGCACACATCCAGCACAGCAATAGCTGTTACCAGAGGGAGGCTCCTTCAAGCATGTGGCTGGGAGTGAGGAAGTTCCAGGACATCATGCAGGTGTTTGGTGATACTGCAAAGGAGAGGTGTCCTCTCTGCCAGCACTGGTTATGGGTAGAATTAGCATGTAATAAATGTCTTAGTTTTAAGTACGTGTCTGGATGTGCATATAATACTTCACATTTTTCCTCAGGATAGCAAGTCACATGTCAAGACTAAAATATAACACTAAGCATACATCCAAATTAAGTTTGTTAAGGTAGGCTCTAACTCCTCCATCTGCAGTGACTGGAGAAGCAGGTTTGAAGTGGGATTTCTCAGAAGCATTAAGTTGCCTGAAAAGTACAGCCTTCACATGGAAAAAGCAAGGAAAATAAAGCCCAAGACAAAGCTCATACCTGAACAGCATGGTCCAAATTAGCAGATAAGTTGTCATCTTCTTCTCCCTTTGCCTCCCCACAGAAATAGATGTGTATGGGGAACTCAGGCTCTGAATCAAAGCAACCCAAGTATAACATGTCCTACAAAATTCAAGTCATTGCACACTTTACCAAGAGGTCAAGGCCTCAGGGCGAAGGAGGGCTTCCATTGGCTTCCCTAAGCAAACCTGACTGACTCCTCTGTGGTAATCCAACTGTACACTGTGCTGTGCCAACATGGGGCCTGCTCAGCTGTGCAGGTTTCCTTTGTTTCACACCCCTCCCAGTAATGATGGTAAAAATCTGAGGAGAAAATGCAGAATGTGCTCTTATTGCTTGAAACTCAGAAATAAGCACTACAGCAAACTGTGGGGCTAGAAGCATCCTTAGCTCTCTCTCTCTTGTTGTGGGCAAAGAGCAGAGACTAGCAGAAATGCATCCTGTGCTGTCTGTGATGGGTCAGGTGATGGGTCACCACACACTGACTGCTCAGGCACCGTTACAGCACACAGCTTGCACACAATGAAAATGATGTGGTAGAACATTTGAATAGAGAAATCAGTTGCTATCCAGGTTGCTGATGGATCTGTTGAGATAAGCCTTTTAACACTTCATAAATGAAATGTTCTTGTGAAACTCCATTCTTCACTCATTCTTCAGTCATGCAAGAGTTCTAGCCAATGCTCAGACCATTTCTCACAGGCTTCTAAAGTCAGTGGTAGCTCTTGGTCTGAAATGTATTTGCTCTCCTATTTTGTCAGGCCCACAATCCACCCCCATCTGTTTTTCTTTGTTAGACAAGAAAGTTTCTAGTACATAACCTTAGTAATTCCTCAAGCTATTTACAGGCTTCTTGTCTAAGTTGGTTAAAAGACAAGGTGTTCTATATCCTTCCAAGAAGGCTTTCTAAAGGACATATTTTTCCTATGTATACCATCATCAAGAGAGAAACTGGCTCTTAAGCAAAAAGTCACATTCTCTATAGAAGCAGCTCTCACTGCTGGGCAACTTTCCACTTGCAATTAGACTGCTTGAGTTTCTGTCCACTGCAAAATCTCATCAATGCATCTTCTAAAAGCCCAGCACCTTTGGGCAGCTACATACTTTGGGCAGCAGTAGCTGGAGTTAAGTTGTAGATCAAGCATAGGTTATGCGCATGCGCACATGTATACACACAGCTGATCCTTCAAAGAAGAGCATTAGGATGTCCAAGAAAGGCTCATGAGAATTTTGAGGTTCTTGCTGGAAACCCTTTGCTTTAAGCATCTCAAGAAGGAGAATAACAAGTGTGTTAAGAAGAAAGACATTGGGTAGAAATATATATAGCCAGCTCTGAAAAAAAGCTGGACTTGTCAGTCAACATAATCTTTCAACAAAAAATGCATTAACAGGCTGTTCGCAGCAGAATCCTGATTTTTCAGTTCCACTACAAACAACTGAGAGTGGGGAGAGCTTGCAGGGCAGAAGCAAACATTTTAAGAAGCTGGTGTAAGACGAGCTCTTCACGTTGAAGGAAGCCTGAATACATAAAATAAAAAGTATTTTTTCTCTCCTGCTGTACAGTCAATGTCTTCTCCTGAGCAGGGGCAAGAATTTTCCTCATCTCACAAAAAACAACTTTAGTTCCTAACCTGGCCATGGCAACAAAGAATTTCTTGTTTGATTCTCCTGATTTCACAAAAGGCAAAACCTGCCAGCCATTACCATTCCCAACTGTGCTATACACCTCTGCTGTTCTTGGAAACCCTGTCTGCAAAGAGAGCAGTTCAAGGAGAAGGTGCAGTAGTGTCACGTGCATTGGATTAATGAAGTAGCTGAAGTGAGAAGAATCCAGATGATGCTGGATACTTCCTCAGCCACCATTCTTCCCTGCCTCAATCTCCAGGTGGAAAGAGGGGGGATTTTTTTTTTTTTTTTTTTTTTTTTTGAAAGAATGGGAAGAAGAAACACTACACCAAACCCTATTTATATGCCAAGCTGTATTTACAGCTTTATCTGTGAAAGACAAAGAATACAAGCAATGAGAGCAGGTGAGAAATACAAATGCGTAGGGTAAACCCTGTAAGAGATGATGTGGCTCTTCATGCCAAACCCACCAGGAATTTGTGCTTCCACAAAACCTGGACAACATCCTGTGTTATCAATAAAGGAGTTTCAGCTTTGCCATCAGCTTTATTAAGTAGCCCTGACCGCTGTGTAAGGAGTCAAGGGAACAACTAGTTCTGAGCAAACCATAAAGCAATGTCAGTATTTCAGCTGTCTCTTGCTCCAGGTCTTGCCCCTCCTTCCTCCACACCTTAGTCAGCCTTTGGATTTTAAAGGAATAATTCCAGCTCCATTAAAAATAAATAAATAAATAAAATTCCTAGACTAGTTAACTTCTAAAAGCAGTATTTCTCAGCCAGCATAAGTCAGAGAAAAGAAAAGTTGAGAGGGGAAAGGGGACAATAACATGCATGCTAAACAAAGCTAGTTCAAAGCACAAACTTGAAGAGGTGGGCCTTTTTCCTTTTAATGCAGGGGATAAAAATCTGAGCTGCAGAGTCAGTTCTGGAATAGCTGCTGCCTAAAGTTTCACATTTCTGAAATGGAGTGAGCTGTCACCCCCATGGCTCAGGGACTCCTCAGCACAAGCCAAAGCGAACACAGATCCTGGTGAAGCCACCAGTGCTTTCCCCACAGGGAATTGAACAGCCCTGCCTGGGCATCCTGAGCAGCCAGATGGGGATCCTTCCCACTTGGGACCCAAGATCCAAATGTTTCAGGTGTCGCTTATGTGAAATATCTACATGTGAGGAAACTTAGACACAGGAAAAACAACACCACAGAGAACAAAGAACAGACAGATGGAGACTGAGTGTGGGAAGAAGAGTGCTAGGAGTGCTCTCCCTCTTTACGTGACACCAAGAATGGAAGGGGATCCCAATGGAGACCAAGAGGAAGGGGAAGGAAGGAAGGAAGGAGATCCAAATGCAGATTTCAGGGAGACAAGAGGCAGGAGAAACTGGGGCTTGTTGTTCTGTGAATATCACAGAAAAAAATATATATGTATATATCTGCTCAAGGTTTGCTTCACTCAGCATCAGCCTAACTGATGGGCTTTGACACAGCACAGAAAACAGCTCCAAGTACTTCTCAAGAGTCCCGATAGAGCTCGCCAACACAGGGACACCAGAGAAACAGATGTAATTTTGGAACGAATTTTTTAGTTATCAGCACCAACTGAACTGGATTTTCAAAATAAACATTGCAGCCAACATGTCTCTCTCAGGCTAAACTCATTGGAAAATCTGTGAACTCCAAATTGCTATTTACAGCTGCTGACAGCCCAGTCTTAGGAGAAAGAAAAGCCATCAGCAAAAGGCTACTGCTGGGGCACTGTTCTATTTAGCCAGAGTCTGCTTTTTCCATGAGTTAAGCCAATGCCGGAAAGTTTAAAGAGTCCTTATCACCTTCATCTCTGCTTCATGTGTGAAAACGAGTTATGACCTTCCACCTGCCCACAGTACAGGCAGACTCACTCTTTCTCTGGTTTTACAATAGTGTTTTCCTACTTTCTGTACTTGTTTTTCTCTCCTCTGTTGTGGGAAAAACCCACGTGGACGAGAAGGGAAATTACTGGACAATAAAGGGGAAAACAATGACACTGACAGCACTCTGAGCTGTAAAAAGCACAAAGTAAACACAAAAGAAAAAATGTTTTTTCCCTTCTAACCTTGTTTGTTTAGTCATTAGAGGTACTACTTTTTTCAGCCAAAGAGAGGAGAAGGCAATGTTTACAGCTGGCAATGGCACTTGCTTTTTCAGTTTACGTCCCTTTGAAAACACGTTATCTGAAAAAAAGAAAAAACAACACATCAATATTTTGAGAGCCTGCACAGAGGAAACAGAAGTTCACATTCACATCACGTACTGCTCGCTGGTCATAGCACTGATGTGATCCTAACATAAGGGTACATTAAGAGACTGATAAATTAAGCTTGGAGTTGATCATAAGCCACCTTGTTTGAGATTGCTAAATCACGCTCAACTTCTTCAAATACAGACATGTTTTTGTAGCATGCCTTTCGCCCAAAGGAATCACATGAGAGATAGCAGCATCAAAAACTGGCAGCAGGATTAAAGGCCTGGAAGTTTTTAGCAGTAACAACATCGCAGTCTTAAACATGGCAGAACTAAGGCTAAGCCACATGAAATGAGCACAGTCAAGACTTAGTGCTGGCCTCCCTTGGCCTAATAGGGAACTGAGCTAACACCTGTGCTCCCAGAACCCACACAAGTCTCCTGGACACCTGACAGAGTCGTCAGGCTTTAGTAAGAGCCATCTAATCCCTCTGCAACTCTCCTCAAATCAGCAGTGTTTAATTTTTATTTCCCAGGTTCACAACCCATCACAGGGAACACATTCACACCTCAGAACATTTCATGCTCCAGTATACTGGCACAAATCTTGCCAGCGTCTTCCCAGTCCCATTTGAACATGGCTGATAAGACTGACTTCTTAGTAGACACTAAGAAACACAGCGCAGTGTTTGGGGCACTTGCCGCACTAAATAATTCATAAGTGAACAGCATTTTCATAAAGACCCCATCATATTAGAACAAATAACCTGTATGGTACAGCTGAGAAACCCAACCTGTAGCTAGGGAGCTCCTCTGGGGCCACTACTTGTAATGGCACACACCACCATGAAGCTGCACACCTCAGGGCTTTGTCTGGTCAACCGACACCAATCCTGAATGATAAACCAGCCAGGAAACAGCTACAAAAGTCTCCCTAGGGCAGGTGAAAGCTCAGTTTGATGTTCTTTCCCTTGCTGCATTACAGGTTTGCACACAATAAGGAATGAACTTTTATTGGTTTCTTAGAGCTACAAGGAAAATCCAGCTGTGACCACACTGCAAATAGAACATGTACCAACATCCTAATGTGGGAAGCAAGAGTGTGTCCAGGACTACATCCTGCTCCCTATGGTCATTTCATTGCACTATGACAACACTTGAGAGGGTCATCCTAAAAGACAGTAGGAAAGCAATGCAAGTGAAACATCAGGGAATAAGAGCTACTGGAGAAAAAGAAAGGCCAAGGGAAGAACAGAGCACAATGCCCAAAACTTGTGGAAGAAAAAGAGGAGTGTCAAACACGACCATCTTTAAAGGAAAAACACTTTGTTCCACTACATAACACTTGCTTACTTAGTTGCCTTCTTGATCTCCTGGAGTTCTGCTTTCGATCGTTGCACAATGAAATGCAGCACATATATCCAAACTACCATAAGCCCAATAACCTCCACAAGCCATCGCTGCTCTCCCAACGTCCAGTCATGAGACTCCTTCCAGCATAGCAGGAATTATGTTTGCAAAACATTATCAGGGCATCATACAGACAATAACAAAGCAGCGGCTGTTTGCTTTCATTAATAAAGGCTGCTCTCCCCACAAAGTTTGTTTTCTCCAGAGAACAAAGAAGTCACAGCACACTGGGAGGAAACAACAGAGTAAGGAAAACAACAACAGCTGGCAAAAGCAAAGCATTTTCTTTCCTGTTGGAAGACTGAAGCCTCCTGTTTTGCCTTTTTCACCCTCTTCCCTCCCCTTCCCCCCACAGATTGTTCCCCCTCAAACAACAGTAAAATTGGGGTAAGCTCACCCTAGGTCCTGGAAGAAGGAGGAGAAATTGTGTATTTTGAGAACAAGTTGGGTAAAACCAGAGGAAAGGGAATCTGTGTCACCTCATCCCCAGCATTTCACCACACCATCTCAGCATGCAGAGCTGAGAACACCCAGTACAGCAAGTCACAGCCATGCAGAGAAACTGGCAGCTCTGCCACAGGAAGTTCTCTGAAGGTGCTGATGCAGCTCAACCAGAGGCTCTCTAAAGAGCCTACTGGATTCCCTCTCCCTAGATACAGGTTTGCAGTGCTGGCAGAGAACACTGGTCTCCTTGAAAAGCTGTATGAGAAAAAGCAGAATCTGTCAACTTGAAGCCATTACATTCCCAGACAAAGGCTGTTTACTTCTGTCAATCTATCTGTATCAGTCTAAGACTATCCCAGCTGCAAGAATCCTATTTCTTAAAAATAAATATTGTAATTAAAAACTGATTATTCTTACATGAACGCAACTAGTCACCAGCTAATGTTCGCAACAAGGTATTACTCTCTCAACAACAGAGATGCATTATCTGTAGCATGTTGCTGCAAGAAACCAACACCTTCACGAAGAAACACTCATTTTAGATGAAGTTTATGATTTGAACTGTAGTTACACTGAGATCAATCTATTTCAGTGATCCCAATGACATGAATTCAGTACGGAAACTTTTCCCTTGTTAGCCTCATTAGATTTGTTTAAAGCATTAAAAAACCTTCAATAGACATCAACAGATTCCCAAATGCCTTTAGAGACCTTCACTTCTTGCTTGTGAACCACTAGCAGCACCTAGTGGTCAGAATAAATAGGGTCTTTTCAGATTGGTCAGGTAATGAAACATAGGGAGACCGATTCTAACATTTTATCAGCTTATTTACAGGATCAGCTTGAATCTCAGTAAGGCCAGTGTTGCACACACTCCTTAAATGCTCATATTATTTCTGTAATCCAAGGAACTTCTATCTGTATCCATACAGAATTCAGACTTCTGGATATTTCAAGTAGCCCAGGGACTGCCATCAGGTTAGTCTCTACTACAGCTACCCAGGCAAGAACCTAACCTTCCCACAAGCCCAGACAGCATCAGTAGAGCTCCCAGAAGCATACCATGTTCATGTGGCATAGGAAGGAGCCACAGCCTGATGATGGCAGAGCTTAGCTCACATGGAAACCTCCAGCAAGGGAGACTGTGCTGCTACACCAAATCAGAAAGGAAGAGGACAAACCAAAAACAATGAAGATCCACTCCTCCCATTCACTCCTGTCCTGACAGCTTTTAAGGAGGCAAAATGCACAGTACATCTGAGATGATCAGATCACCTAAGAGATTAAAACAAAAAAAAATTGATGAAGCAATGAGAAATACCTAAGAGTTCCCACCTACTGTAGAAACTGCTTTTTACTCATCACCAGAAGGAAAAGAAACCAAAGCAAAGGGGAACATACAGATACTTTTATTGCTCACCTTTTATACAACAGCAAACCTTCAGCCATTTTCTTTCACAGCTTGACAATGTTTATGTACACAAAAAACCCAGCAAGAAGCATTATGTGGCTTTCAGTAAAGGAAAAAAAAAAAAAAAACAAAAACAAACCAATGCATTAGAACATCAAACTCAGCCAGGCTTTATTTTCTGCAGCAATAATAAAAGGGCTTCCTCCAGGCAGGAACTAAACTTCCCAGGCCGTAGTGCATTTCTTTAAAAAGACAACCCCCAAAACAAATTGCCCTAGATCTGCTGAGCCAGTGGTATTAACTTGCAAATAAAATAATTTCAACTTGTCTTCCTTTTTTTTTTCTAGCTGATTTCAAGTAAAAATTAAGTTTGAAGGAGGAGCAACTTGTTTTGGATGGATGCAGGTCAGTTTGAATTGCTACACCTAACTACAGGCCTATGTACACTACCAGTTCACAATTTAGCTTAGTTTTAAATAATCTTTGCAGATTTTGGCGGCGGTAAGTCTTCAGACTTGAGCAGGTGGGAAAAAATTTGTTTAATGGAAGATAAGGCTACCAAACATGACATCTACAGCAGAGCTCATATAATAGATAACAAACCTGTCTGCTAGAGGGAAATTGCTGTGGGGGACCTGCGTATGTGTGCAACTTCAATTAAAAGAAGAGGACAGCAATCCAGAAGCAATATTTAGCACTGATTTTAGGTCATGTAACTGAACAATGGGTAGGGGATGCAGAAATTCCATTGTATACTGAAACATATAATTCTGACTAGACCAGTCTTTATAATTTTTCCAATTGAAGCGTCAAGCAAAACACAGCAGGTAGTTTTGGAATCAATGTGTTTTGAGCAAATGTCAGTCCAATATCAAAAAAGCATGACTATTAATTTACGATTAAGTGAAGTGCAGTGAGTAGTTATGATGCATTCAATCCTGACAGACTGGGGGGGAAGGAAAGTATAGAAAGCTATACTTAGTTCAATACAAAATATCCCACCCCAAAAGATTCTGCCTCATATGTACAAACCTGTACTGATTCAAAAGCGATTAAACCAAGACTCTGAAACCAGGTTTTTATTATTTGAGCTCTGCTGAAGCAAAAGTTCTTAGCAACTTCAGCTTGTGAAGTGCCTTCCTTGTCCAAAACCAGACTGATTATACTGATAGCCTCCATGCTGGAAGTGCTGCTCGAATTGCCCACCTGGATTAAAATTCTGTCCACCTCTGCCTCCCCAGCCACCTCCTTGACCTCCACGGCCACCACGACCACCACGGCCACCTCTGCCTCCTCCACGCCCACCCCCTCGGTCACTGTGGGACCCACCATCTTGGTATCTGTTGTCTTGCTGGTAGCCACCACCCCCTTGGTAACCACTTCCTGTGTATGAAGATGACTGGTAGCCACCATAGCCTCCTCCTTGGTAGCCGCCGCCACCACCACCATGGTAGCCACCCGTTTGAAAACCTGCATCTCTGTAGTTGCTATCCCTGTAGTTGCCATCCTGGTAGCCACCACCTCCACCATCTGTCCACCCTCCTTGAAGTTTGTTTCCTCTTCCACCTCCTCTGCCACCATGATCATAGCCACCACGTCCTCCTCGCCCTCCTCGATCATGGCCTCCTTGATCGTGACCTCCTCGTTCATGACCTCCTCGTCCTCCATATGATGAGTCATAGCCTCCTCTTCCTCCTCGCTCATGACCACCATGGCTGTGACCCCCGTGGTCATAACCTCCTCGCCCTCCATATGGGGATTCGTAGCCACCTCTTCCTCCTCGGCCACCACTTTGTTGTGGACCAGCCTCTGGTCTTTTCTGCCAGGGTGGCATCTCAGGAGGCGGTGGTTCAATTTCATTGGGCCTTCCTCCTCTGTCAGGCACTCTACCCATAAGAACCTGCAAAGGGAAAGGGAAACTGCCTTAGGAGTTGTAAGATCTCACAGAAGCAGGTTATTTTAATTTTTGTTACTGTCTTGAAAGACACTTAATACTGATAATGGAATTAAGTCAACAGAATACAGATCAGCAGCAGGGCAGTGCCACATTCCCAGTAAGGTGTGTATATAATCTGATGATAGTCACATCTGTCTTCCCATTTCCTTCCTTTTAAATTTCACACTCCAACTACATTAAAAGGTGCAAAAATTATTTAGGAGGAAATTAGTAGGAGGTTAAATTATGCCACTATTCCATTCTAAATGAACTAGAACATTACCTGAGCTACAAAATGGAGAAAAGCATGTATGAATACACAATTTTAAAAGTACACTTTGGTGCACAGCTCCTGATCTTCAAGTTCGATAAGTGTACTTTTGTGAGCCTGTAGAAACCTAATTCTTAAAACACAGAAACTGTTCAGTCCAAATCATATTTCTACTAGATCATTACCAAAAGTACACACTTGACTAGAATCTCTCATGTGTGCAGAGGAGAATCTGACCTGTGACATATTCAAAAGATTTTAATAGATTTTATTTATATAGTACAGAAAGTTACTATGTAGGTGTTATTTTGGATATCATGACAGAATTAGGCAACAGCAATGCAAGAACACCAGTAATGCTGATAAGACAGAGCAGGCAACTCCTGCTGAAAATAATCAAATGTTTCAACTTTCCTTTTTTTATCCAGTGCCCCTAAGAAGGGGCACTCTGAATCTTAACAAGTAAAGCTACAGTTCCTCCTAATGCACTGATGTGCAATTTAGAGTACACAGATGTCGAGTTTCTTATCCCTTATTTCCAACTCCCATTTACAATCATAAAAAGAAAGTACGATTTATTACTGCATTCAAGTAACTTTAATATTCATGACAGAAAAAGTGATGTTAGCTACTTGTCACCAAGGGTACCTTATTAATGGCACATGCAGTCTTTTCTCGGATGGATCCACTGCTTGTTCTCATAATTTTTGATAGATCTTGCCGAGCTGCCAAGAGATTTGCAACAGAAATAGTGCACTTAGTGGATAAGAGGGCACGTTTTGGCTGGTAGACTTTAGCCAGCTTTTCTGTCTGACTCTGTTGAAGAAAAGAAAAACAAAACTCAGTCAGCTAAAGACATGGGAAAGCAATCTCACCAGAAGAATCAACTGCAAAAGATGTCACTGCAAGTAGGAAAAAAAAGTGAATATAAAAGTAGTAATAATCACTGTGTAGCCGAGAATCACCACAATTAATGCTAACATTTGTCATATTAACACTACTCTAAATCAACTGAAGAGACACTGGCTTTCTGACAATCTTAACAGCAACCAAGTACATGCAGACTTAGTTCTCAGGCAAACACAGGATAGGAGGGTCATATAGGTATATAAATTACCATTAATGTGGTACCAAAAGTGGAACAAATTTGGAAGTCATTTCAAGCCCTCCTCTTAAGCCTGCACAAATCTCTACCCCACATCCATTCCATTTACAATAGTATCACCAAGTCCCCAGCCCTGCATCACTAGAAAAAGGTT